GAAATCCACGCACTTTGTGGCCTTTAAATAAACCTCCGGTTGCTCGGAACAAGGCTTGATGAAAAGCCGAAGCGTAAGAATTTAACTATTATTTCTATGCCTGCCATCCTTTGTCTCAACTGATCCCAACCACGTTTATTGGGAAATTTAATCCCGTTTATGTGAAAGGGATTTAACATTCAGAAAGTGTGTGTGTAAATGCTTCATGCAGTAAAATGCAGTAAATGCTTCATGCTTACAAGTAAAGATGTGCAAACCAATCTTGCGAACTGTTTCCAACCGAAGACATTTGAGCCCCTGTGTAATCCCTCCCTGGCTACCACAAATGGGTCTTTCAAAGCCTTCCCTACACCCTGAGCCTGACCCAGAAGAGAAACACCCTTCATTTATAAAAACAGTCGTTTATGAAAGCCTGAATTTATATCAATCATTTGAGCAATTTTTTAAGACTAGTGAACTAAAAATCTTCTTAACAATCCTCTATTCTTACCTCGGCCGGTAGTTTTCATCTTGTAAAAAAGCTTCCTCGCTCTCTTCCAACAAAGCTGCTTTTCGCTTGCAAAGTGTCCTTGCTCTTCAAGGCGCGCCTCCAGGTTTCTGGAGTTCGGCGCCTTTATAGCCCCTCCTGGCTGCCAATTGGCCGGCGCGTTTTCCTTGGAGAGAAGCGCTCCAATGGGGAGGCGGCTTTTGGGGAGGCGCGAGTTTCAAGTTCACTTTTCAAGCGCTGCTTGACCAATCTAGATGGGCTGGAGCGCACCCTTCCCTTAGCATCGCCCCTTAGCAAAACTGGAAAATAGCCCCATAGACTGGGAGAATTAGTGCGCACAGTTGAAGAGAAGGGAATTGAGAAGAGCGGTTGGGCAGCGAGAGAGCCAGACAGAACTGTGGTTTATTTTTTAAAAAATATTATTATGAAGCTGTCATTTTACATACAGAGATGCACCAAGACTTAGGCATGTTGAAAGGCTTTGCCCAAGAAGCCTAGATGCAGCAAGGACACTCTGAAACCCCTGCCTTTTGAGATGAAGCAGGCGCCTTCACTGCACCCTTTGCGGCGCCTGCTATAAACTTTGTTTCCTTTACCTGCAAAAAGTTGCTATGCCTTTTAATCGGTGACTGTAGCTTGACTGTAATTGCATTTGGCATGTTTTCACTTTGACTTGTATAGATAATGTTCATGCTTTCGTAAGCGGCTTCGAGGTTTTCGTTAAGGTTAGGCGGTGCAAAACCTTGAAGGGAAGAATGTGAGTAACACCATTGCAAATAAAGGGAAGGCAAACTGCTCTTGCCAAAAAGTCAGTAGGTCTTTCAAGCCCAAGCGGTTGATGTTAGATGCTCAGAGTATTCAGCCCCGGACAGACGTCGCAACCAAATCCTGAATCTACACAGTCTCAAGGCACTATCGCTTGTAACTGCAACGGGGTTGCATTCTGAGGGAAAGAGAACTTTCCGTTTCCTAGACTTGCTTCAGACGTTGCTGGTGCTTCCTTTCTTTTTCACTTCAATTATTTCTCTTTCTGTCTTTCTATCCCCACAACTTTCACGTGGCCATATTCTTCTGCCTTTCAGGGACTTGCGGCATCCAGATAGCTTGCCGCTCCACCCTGCACCCGCGGCAAGATACTTGCCTCCGATCCTCAAAGGAACTGAAAACGTTCTGAAACCTTCCAGCTCATTCAATAAATGTTCCCAGTCCCTGGCAGTTTGTTAATCAAGAATGGTTCCCTGTTGGTACATTCTTTGTTATTTTTGCCTAAGAAAATTAACACAAGGGACCCTTCCTAAGTGTACCTATAAACCCTAATCATAGGTATGCTGACGCAGAATCGGCAATGAAACTTTTTTTCGAGTAAGAACTACATTTTTTGTGGTGAGCTATGGGAAATTCAATATATTTTTCAAAATGGTTTTTTAAAAAAGTATTCGCAGAGTGTTTTTTATGTGTAGATTCCACCCAGGGCAGGCGATAACGCTGCACTCTTTCCTCATCCACACCAGATGACACACCACCTAGTACCTTTCCTTTCACTAAGATTTAGCAGTCCCTCCTGCGTAATGATGCACTCCGCTCTCCACCACTATATCTCTCTCCAGAACTGTTCTAGCATCTAGATTACGGCATTTTGCCTATGCTATACAGAGAGCAGCTTGGAATCAGGGGCAGATCTCCTGCGAAACCAATGAATCTTAAGATTCTGGGCACCTAATCTCAGAGGGTTTTAGTTCACAAGCATAAAGATTTTTATACACACCAGTGTCTTTGACACCTGAGACAACCCAGAACAGAAATTCTAATCAAAATCTGATTTTTTAAATGTGGTGATCTGTTGAAGAAGACAACAGTGGTTACCCAGAACTGATTGCGAGTTGTGAAGGGGACCCCAGAACAGCTCAAGCTACAGGGCCCCTAAAATGTAGGTCTGTCACTGCTTGGGACTGATGTTGGGATAACTGTAACTGATGTTGGGAGAACTGATGTGCATTGCCATTCAAATGGTGTGTATGTGCCGTTCCTTGTGACAAATTATGTGGGATGGGGCTTTCCTGGGACCCCCCCCTATTTTATTCAAGCTGGCACCCCTGATAATGGATGTACCCCCCTTGCCTGGCATCACTTTAATGTTTTTGTATGTGTCAGGTGAAGACATTTAGATTTAGTTTCAGCTTTGGATCTTGTTCTTATTGCAGGTTTTATCCTCCAGTCTTAGCTTTTTTTTAATCTCAATTGGGAGTTGTTTTAATCTTGCCTTTTATCTATTGTATTACATTTACCTATCTCTCTAGAGCTGTTTTAGCATCTAGATTCTGGCATTTTGCCTATGTTAAACAGAGCGCAGCTTGGAAGCAGGGGCAGATCTCCTACGAAACCAATGAATCTTAAGATTCTGGGCACCTAATCCCAGAGGGGCCCCAGGCCTGAATTTAGTCCACATTCTTAAACATTTATATTCACACCAGAGACTTTGACACTTGACAATCCAGAGCAGAAATTCTAATCAAAATCTGATTTTTTAAATGTGGTGATCTGTCAGGGAACAACCCCGTTGAAGACGACAACAGTGGTTACCCAGAACTCATTGCTAGTTGTGAAGGGGCCCCCAGAACAGCTCAAGTTCAGGACCCCCAAAATGTAGGTCTTTCACTGCTTGGGACTGATGTTGGGAGAACTGTAAGATTCATCTGTTGTTGGGTTTCAAAACAGCAAACGAGGGGAGGGGAGTAGAGATTCAGAACTATTTGTGGCACTGGGGAAGAGGTGTAAATACCATGCTATTTTACCCATCAGAACTAATATTTGCCCAATAAGGGGGTTGCAAGTCACAGGCACCATGCAGCAAGAGATTTGCTTCCCTCACTTTAACTAGAACCTAGGATCCAGCAATAAAGAGCTTAGTACAAAAGCCATACACTTAGAATAGAAGACTTATGAGCCCAGGAACTTGTTTGGAGAATCAGAATTAATGGGAGCTCACAGGCTTTCCACACGTAAATCCGTTCCCGGTTAACTCAAGTATTCTTCATCTCAGCAGTATAATGTAGAGGGGGGGAGGGGATTATTTTGCGGTTACTGTATTTATAAACACGGGGAGGTGAGGTCAGCAATCCTTTGTGATCTACTGCAAAACACCCAGCGTTCTTCCCACCACTGCCATGCAAAGGAAACAGCAATTTAGAAAGCAATTAAGACTGGGGGTGGGTGGGAAAGGGATTAAGTTCTCCCCCCATCCCACCCCATGCATACAAGCAGGTGATGCGTTATCACAGATCTCTAGTTCAGATAATTCAGAAAAGGGCAAGTAGAGTGATCAAGTGGATGGATCAATGAGGAAAGCTTGGAGCATTGGGGACTTTTTGGTTTAGAGAAAAGTTGGATAAGACGTGGCATGACAGAAATTTATAAAATTTTGCATTGCATGGAGAAAGGGGATAGAGAAAAATCTCTCCCACTAATCTGCACTTTTAAAAGCTACAATCCTAAAATCATTGAACTTTCCCCCCTTGCAGTTTGCCTTTGCTGTTTTCTTACATTTTTAATGGATGCTTCTTGTTTTGATATATTGATGTAAACCACTTTGTGAGGTTCATTTCAAAAGCAGTACATAAGTAAATGAAATGGGAGGGATTGAGAGGGACGTATTTCTGACTAAATGGATCTGTCTTGATTTATAATAATTAAAAATCATGATCAACCAAAAATAAAAGAGAGAAAAAAACTTCCAAGCAGAGGCGGATTTAGGGCAACACAGCCCCCCCCCCCCCGCTGAGCCTGGAGGGGCCAGAGGGGAGCAGAAGGATGAAGGAATGAAAGGAGCAGAAGGGAAGGCGAGAGGGGGCAGCCTTCCTCCGAGGCCAGACATGCTAATACGCTTATCTCGCCTCACGGGTGGGTCCCCCCTGCGGGGTGGGGGGTCATCATGTGAAGGAGTGAGGGATAGGCGGCCGTTGGGACGAGAAAGAGGAGCGGGAAGGACCCCCCCCCCCGTTGCCCCAGCAAGACGTTGGTTATAGCGCAGATGCTGAGGGAACGTAATAAGGGAAGACAATGGCGAGAGGGAAGCCCTTCGGAGTTATCTGGTAGCCGCTCCCCAGGCGCCACCACAGGGCGCGGCTATCTTCCCTCCGGCATATACAGTGGTACCTCTAGTTCACAGGCAACCCTCTTATAAAGCTTCATTGAATGCAGTAGAGCAAAACCACAAAGTTTTAATAGATGTATGTGCCTTAGCCTGCAACATGGGCATTTATAAGTTAAACTTATACGTCTTTAAAGCTTTGGAGAGCAACTTTACACACTCATGGTAGGAAAATCAATTCAACCTTATATCCCCGTCTCAAAGTTCTGTGTTTTAAAAAATGGAAGACTCATGAATGGAAACCAAACTTCTTAACACAGAAAAGTGTTACTAAATTTACTTATAGCAGGATCTACAAATATACAAAGAAAATATAGCAACTTCCCACCACATTTATTTTCCCCTACTCTAGCCTCAAATACAGAGACTCAAAAAGAAAAGGAAAGGGGCAGAAAGGCATTGGTGCATTAAAATGTGTCCCAGGAATATTCAGCCGTTAGAATACCTGACCTTTTTATCTCTAGAACCACATGTACCGCACAACTGACTTTTTTCTATGGGAAAATTAAGCCCATGTTTATATGCTTGCACACAGGAAAGTGAATGTTTCAGTAAATGGAAAGTTAAATCAAGACTCCAGACAAGCTAGAAAAGGAACAAACTTTATTCAAAACATCGAAGTCATACATTAAAAGGCATTAAAAGAGGGAGCTTGGAAAATATGTACAGGATAGAAAGGAAGGAGTTGGGAAGCTAATCTGGAACCTGACTTAAAGCGAAAAACTGAGAGTCCGAAGCACTTCCATCAACATTCTGCATTTGTACAGGATTTGTAGCTGAATTATTCCCCGTTGCAGACCAAGGAGTATAAGTGCTTGATGCCATGAAGAAGTTACTAGATGATGGTGGAGGCTGCCTCACAATCTCCGCACCGTAATATGGAACTGGGCAGTTGCTCGCCTGGGAAGTCTCATAAAGCCCAGTTCCACAAAAAGCAGCTTGCTGGTAATAAGCAGGGTTCAATTCCAGGGAGCTCTGCTGTTGCGCGGCATACCCTCCTGGTTGCGTGTTGTTGAGAGGTGGCTGCCACAACCCTGCTCCTCTATTGCTTTCAGCTTAATGCAAGTTGTGTGGCTGATAAAATTGTTCCATATGAATATTTTGGCTGTTTCCTGGACTGCTTCCTGGGCTGCTGTCCAGGGTGCTTCTTGGACGGGTTCTTTCACTCCGGCTATAAGGAGCTGCAGCATGGTTCCCGATCCTTATCCTGGAACCAATGCTCTTTGGTGTTCTGGCCCTTCTGTTTTGAAACCAGATCTGAACAGAAGAAAGAAGAGAACCAATATAGAAGACATTGTTACCATGAATATGTCTTTTTGATCCAACAGAGAGAATTGCATTTAATAAATTATGCTTATTCCTCTGGGGTTTCTCTTTAGTTCTCTGCAGCATTTTTCTACTCTCTTCAGCTCCGCATTCAAATATCCCATGTTCATAATATCCAGTTACTGTTAATCATAAAGCTTCTAAGTTGGAATGACTAAATACTGCTACAGTATTTGGTTGTATTTTGTTCTGCAGTATCAGAAAAAGCCACCTTTAAAAGCTGCATAAGTGTACAGTTCCACTAGACTTTCTTTATTGAAGTATAACCTGTGGATGTGAGCTTCATCTGTAAGAAATTGTCAAGCGTTTGTTAATGCCAAGTGGGTGGCTGCATACAAGACTTAACATCTCTGTGTGCATTTGTGCTGGAAGGCGATTGTTTTAAAAATTCCATAAATATAGTAATAGTAATTTTAAATACCTCACTCAGAAGACCTACCCATTTGTTCTGCCCTGTTTGGGGTCAGAATCTCAGAAAACTCAGAATCTGCATTAAATGAATGTGTGCTGTGCATAAATTTACTGGGAAGGAAAAGGAAGCCTTAATCAGGAACCATGATTTCTGAACAAGTGTGGGCACAATTTCTTCCTAAATTTGAAAAGGAGGGAGCACAACCCACCCACCCTTTACAAAAAGCCTTTACATCCACGATACAACCCCCCCCCAAAAAAAAGCTGAGAGGCACCCGGGAGAACTAAGGCCTTCGACTACGCAAGGATTATTCTGAGCGTTTCAAATTCTTCCAGTATGTGCGGTTTAGGGAAATCTTGGGAGTCCCCACCATCCCGATTCTTACGTGCACACGATCTTCTTCGACTCCGATGCACCTCGCCAGCGCCTCCCTAGTCTGGTATCCGGGGTACTGGTTCTCTTCAAACTCCTTCTTTAAAAGCTCGATTTGGGCAGGGGTGAAAACGGTCCTTTTTCTCCTATCTCCTCCGACTTTGGGGTACCTTCCTCCTGGGAAAAGACAAAGAGGCAAATCTGAAGGAAGCGCTGGGCAAGCTTAAACTGAAGCGACGCTTGCAGATCTTCCTCCCGACATGGAAAGCTCAGGGCTTAATAATCATTTTTTTAAAAGTTTCTCCTACCTTCCTTGTTGGTTGCCATCATGAAAAAACTCCCTCAGGTTCGTTCTCTCTGCAGGGGATTCGGTCTGGGCATTTATCTCGTTGGGCGACCCCACCCTTACTTCTCAACCAATACGAGGGAGTCATCCCACCCTTACTTCTCTACCAATACGAGGTTTCCCGGTTGCGGAATGCCCTCCCAGTCAGCTGTCCCGTCTTCATCATTTTTGCGTTTCACCCTTACTTCTCAACCAATAGAAACAGTTACATTCTCTTTCAAAAAATCAGTTGCTTTGCCAAACTGGCTCAAACCCCTCCCTCCGTCGACACCCCTTTGGCAATTGACTCTTCATCTGAATGGAAGAGGAGAGAGAGAGAGAGAGAGAGAGAGAGAGAGATCTTTCGGGCGCCTGCTACACCTTTTCTTTGCCAAGCCACACCCGAATTGTACAAAAATGACACTTGCGAGGTCCAACCAAAGAACACCCCCCCACACACACACTTTAGCACACACTTCGTATCTTAAACGGGTACTCTCCTTTTTAAAAAGGTTTTGTTGTTGTTCTAAAAAGAAGCAAGTGTAAATTATTTCATATCGACAAAGAAGCTGGGAACAACTTAATCCCAATACCCCTCATTTCAGCCTCTGCCGTCTAAATAAATTAGTACGTACATCGCCTTGGATGGAGGCTCTGGCAACTGCCAGCGAATGCGAATAATACTGTATACATAAGAGCGGCGGCAACCGAAGAAAGAAATCTAAGCTATGTAAGCAAGCTATATTTTATTAACATATGATTAAAATTGCATTCATTTTTCGCTAGTTTTGAAGACTTAGCTTACGTTCTTTTAAAAACGGTGCATTGGATATTCAAGGTCACCCGCCATCTTAGAAGAGGAGATCCTTGCACCAAGAATGCCTTTTCCAAGCTGGTACCTGCAAGTTAGGATTCGTATGGTAATCTTTTATAAACCCAAATAAATAAATAAGACGACAGTGTCGTTGTAGTTGGTTTAATTTGCTTTAATTCAGTCTGGACGGCCAGCCCATTTAAAGAGGTTCCCCGGTTGCGGAATGCTCTCTCTAGTGAGCTGCCCCGTCTAATTAGGACGTTTAATTAGGAATTTGAAAATATTCCTGTTTGTTCAGGCATTTGGTGGCTGCTGAATAATGATCCTGACAACCCCGAGATCCGCGGGCAGAAGAATAGTTGAAAAAACAAACCAACAAACCTCCTATAATTACTTTTAGGATTCTTCCTAACTGAAATTGCTTTTAGGTGTTTGCAATTGTTATTTTTTTAATGTTCGAAATGTTTTAGAATGTTTTTGCTTTTTTTTTTGTTTTTAAATTGTGGACTGTTTCTGTTTGCCGATGTGGGCTCCGAAGGGCGGCGTATAAATTCAGTAAATAAAAACCATAAGAACATAGAATTGGGTTTATTTGTAGGAGGACGAGGAAAGGAAAACAAGCAAGCATAGTTGAGGTATCAAATACATAGCTGCGTTTCAACCTATTATAAGTTCGTTTATACATTATGTCCCTTTCTCCTCCAAGATTCAAAGATCACAATGTTTCACCGCATAAATTATAATTTGACAGATTTCAAAGCAGAATGTACCACAAAGTAACTTCCTAATATGAAGAGTAGCAATGCCAATTTGATATTAGCGCTTTGCTGATGGTTGTTTTAATGAACATTTAAACTTCATGGCTACTGAAACACACGGACCAGGAGGTCAAGTTTCTGTTCGGAAATACGTGTTGAAGTGTTGAATTTACACTGGGAGGACGCCTAAGGGGACAGTTTCAGTAGGCTGACCTTTCCTGTAACTCGAGGGGTGTTTTCTATTGGGGATTTTGGGCAGGAAACCGAGAGCAACCTAACCCCCAACCTCTGAGCTGCGACAGACTTGCATTGCAGGGCTCTTGTGTCAGTCCCACAAACCCACGGAGAAGGGATTGCATTCCGTTTCAGATACGAAGTGTGTGCAACCTTGTAAAGGGGGGGTGGGCGTGTTCTTTGGTTGGACCGCAAGTGTGATTTTTGTACGATGCAGGTGTGGGACACGCCCCTTTATTCAGTTGTGGCGTAGTTACTTGCACTGACTTGGCAGTTTAAGGTTGGAACCACTGCTTAAAACCAAGGGCTAAGGACGAAATCACAGACTAAAGTAGGTCAAAGTCAATTGGTTATTACTGGCGGCCGAAGAGTCAACTGCCAAAGGGGTGGCGAGGGAGGGAGGGAGGGGATTGACTCAGTTTAGCAAAACAACTGAAAAAAGGTGACTCCCTCTTATTTAGCAGTCTCTGCTGCGTAATGATGCCCTCTCTTCACTACCACTCAACTCTTTCCCTCTTTCAGAGAGATGGATGTGGGGAAAGAAATCCCGCACCTTCCACTCACAGAGACATCACTTTGATGTTTTTGTATGTGTCAGGTGAAGAATTTAGATTTAGTTTCAGCTTTGGATCTTGTTCTTATTGCAGATTTTATCCTCCAACCTTAGCTTTTTGATCTCAATTGGGAGTTGTTTTAATCTTGCCTTTTATCTATTGTATTACATTTATCTATCTCTCTAAAGCTGTTCTAGCATGTAGATTCTGTCATTTTGCCTATGTTATACACAGAGTAGCTTGGAATCAGGGGCAGATATCCTACGAAACCAATGAATTTTAAGATTCTGGGCGCCAAATCCCAGAACATAAGTAAATGAAATGGTAGGGATTGAGAGGGACGTATTTCTGACATATATGGATCTGTCTTGATTTATAATAATTAAAAATCATGATCAACCAAAGATAAAAGAGAACCAAAAACATCTTTTGCAACTTATATGGATGGCATCACAGAGAGCATAAAACACCCAAGCTTCAATAAAGAATTAAACCATGTGGGTGAACCAAAAGGTCTTCACTAGATGATTTAGAGAAGATAAAGAAGGCACCAGGAAAGACTCACTGAGGAGGCTGTTCCATAGCTGGGGTGCTACTGCCAATAAAGCTCTCTCTCCCTGATCAACACCCACTTCATCTCATTTCCGTATCAAATATTAAAATTATTATATTACTCAAATAAGTCCAATTTGACTGTGGGCAATGTGTTATGCCTGCAGATATCAGAAGAACTGGAGTTGTGTCTTGACATTTCCTTCAAAAGCTCAATGTATATTTTAAAAGAGCAAGCTTCAAATAACCATCTAAGCTCTTTAAATACCCATGACGCTTCCATGCATTAAGATTGGCTAAATATTCTTTTCACCATAAGTTATTTTACCAGAGATCATACTTCAATGTGGGTGCTCTTTGGAACGATCTGTAATTAATTAATTAATTAATTAATGTGAGTGTGTTAATCTGCAGGTTGTTAGACAGCAACTTTGTGGTTTCTGAAGCCCCTTGTGAGTAGGTTGTTTTTCACAAAGTGTAGCCTTGTTGAAGAAAAGTGTAGTGGAAATTTGATTAAACAAAAGAGTGCTGGAACAGAGACATAGCAGACACACCATTCTTGGAAGGGCTTTATGGTCTAGCTGCAGTTTTCAAACAAATGCCCACCAAAAGTCAGCATTTGGACAGCAGACTAAGCAGGCATTCAGGTCACCTAAATACGGTGAGAAGTATTATATTTCTATTTAAATTACAGTAATTGTTTTTAAGTTGCCTTTGGCCATTTGTTTATTTATTTCATTAAATGTATACACCACTTGATTGTAAAACCAAAAACTGCAACGTTGAGGGGTGGGAATCGATCATACTTCAAAACATACAGATTAATATTACCTTAAATTAGCACAGACCCATTGAATGATATCTGTGTCCTTGTTTTCGACAGTGCTGTGGTGGTCACCATTTGCTCTTCCTCCAATGAGTTCTGGAGGCACCTACTGGGCTATCACTCTAGAAACCCTTTGTTTCACCTAAGGGAATCTAACAGGAGCTGGTAGATGGTTTACTCCTAGGCATGTGCAGAGTGCTCACCCCTCATCATTTGGCAACCGCCCAGGGAATGCTAGTGCTCAGGGCTTTCCTTATGGAGGAGGGAGAGAAACACCAGCCGAATTCCCAGGTCCAGGTTCAGAAAAGGAGGCAAAGATGAAAAGGGGGCACAGGCTTCAGGGGGGAATCCTCCCTGGGTTGCATTTGCCTGAGCAGCCACCTTGGCCAGACTTACTCCTGGAGGGGGGTCAGCAGGGCCGGCCCAAGACATTTGGTCCCCTGAGCCGAGTCCCAAAACTGTCCCCCCCCCCAGGGAAGAATGGAGATTGTTGGGGGATCAAGATGAAATGGCGAAGAAAGCGGGAAGAGACCAGTGGCGCCTCCTCTTTGCCCCGAGGCAGATTTGGAGTGGGGTAGAAGTGGAAGTGAGGAAGATCCAGCTCCCAAGCAGAGGCGGATTTAGGGCAGCCCAGCCGGTCCCCCCCCCCGCGCTGAGCCTGGAGGGGCCAGAGGGGAGCAGAAGGATGGAGGGATGAAAGGAGCAGACTGGGAGGCGAGAGGGGGCAGCCTTCCTCAGGGGCCAGACATGCTAATGCGCTTATCTCGCCTCACGGGTGGGTCCCCCCTGCGGGGTGGGGTGGGGGGCCATTGTGTTCAGAGGGAGAGAAGAGGAGACCGAGGGGACGTGGGGGGGGGGAGAAGCGGGGAGACCAGGGAGAAGGAGGAGGAGGGCGGCCAAGGTGACGCCGCGGGGGAAGCCGTGGCCAAAAGCCGCGAAGGCAGGACAGGCAGGGGCGCATAGAGTAGAGGGAGTGGGGGATGGGCAGCCGTTGGGCCCAGAAAGAGGAGCGGGAAGGACACCCCTCCCCCCTCCCCCCGTTGCCCCAGCAAGACGTTGGTTATAGCGCAGATGCTGAGGGAACGTAATAAGGGAAGACAATGGCGAGAGGGAAGCCCTTCAGAGTTATCTGGTAGCCGCTCCTCAGGCGCCACCACAGGGCGCGGCTATCTTCCCTCAGGCATATACAGTGGCACCTCTAGTTCACAGGCAACCCTCCCATAAAGCTTCATTGAAGGCAGTAGAGCACAAACCTTGGGGGGTGGGAATAAGGGCAAGAAAATGAAATAAAGTGTTCAAAATATCCCCCCACAAAGTTTTTAATAGATATAAATGCCCATGTTGCAGGCTAAGGCACATACAAGTTAAACTAAGGTGTCTTTAAAGCTTCGGAGAGCAACTTTACACACTCATGGTAGGAAAATCAATTCAACCTTATATCCCCATCTCAAACTTCTGCGTTTTAAAAAATGGAAGACTCATTAATGGAAACCAAACTTATTACCACAGAAAAGTGTTATTAAATTGATTTATACCAGGATCAACAAATATACTTTTGCATACAAAGAAAATAGAGCGACTTCCCCCCACATTTATTGCCACCTACTCTAGCCTCAGATACAGAGACTTAAAAAGAAAAAGAAAGGGGCAGAAAGCCATTGGTGCATTAAAATGTGGCTCAGGAATATTCAGCCATTAGTAGACCTGACCTTTTATCTCTAGAACCACATGTACCGCACAACTGACTTTTTTCTATGGGAAAATTAAGCCCATGTTTATATGCTTGCACACAGGAAAGTGAATGTTTCAGTAAATGGAAAATTAACTCAAGACTCCAGACAAGCTAGTAAAGGAACAAACTTTATTCAAAACATTCAAGTAATACAATAAAAGGCATTAAAAGAGGGAGTTTGGAAAATATGTACAGGATAGCAAGGAAGGAGTTGGGAAGCTAATCTGGAACCTGACTTAAAGAGAAAAACTGAGAGTCCGAAACACTTCCATCAACATTCTGCATTTGTACAGGATTTGTAGCTGACTAATTCCCTGTTGCAGACCAGGGAGTAGAAGTGCTTGATGCCATGAAGAAGTTACTAGATGATGGTGGAGGCTGCCTCACCATCTCCGCACCGTAATATGGAACTGGGCAGTTGCTCGCCTGGGAAGTCTCATAAAGCCCAGTTCCACAAAAAGCAGCTTGCGGATAATAAGCAGGATTCAATTCCGGGGAGCTCTGCTGTTGCAGAGCACACTCCCCCGGTTGCGTGTTGTTGAGAGGTGGCTGCCACAACCCTGCTCCTCCATAGCTTTCAGCGTAATGCAAGTTGTGTGGCTGATAAAATTGTTCCATATGAATATTTTGGCTGTTTCCTGGACTGCTTTTCGGGCTGCTGTCCAGGCTGCTTCTTGGACGGGTTCTTTCACTCCGGCTATAAGGAGCTGCAGCATGGTTCCCGATCCTTATCCTGGAACCAATGCTCTTTGGTGTTCTGGCCCTTCTGTTTTGAAACCAGATCTGAACAGAAGAAAGGAGAGAACCAGTATAGAAGACATTGTTACCATAAATATGTCTTTTTGATCCAACAGAGAGAATTACATTTAATAAATTATGCTTATTCCTCTGGGGTTTCTCTTTAGTTATCTGCAGCATTTTTCTACTCTCTTCAGCTCCACATTCATATATCCCATGTACATAATCTCCACTTACTGTTAAATATATAGCTTCTAAGTTGGAATGACTAAATACTGATATTTGGCTGTATTTTTTTCTACAGTATCAGAAAAAGCCACCTTTAAAAGCTGCACAAGTGTACAGTTCCACAAGACTCGATTTATTGAAGTATAACCTGTGGATGTGAGCTTCATCTGTAAGAAATTCTCAAGCATTTGTTAATGCCAAGTGGATGGCTGCATACAAGACTTAACATCTCTGTGTGCATTTGTGCTGGAAGGGAACACTTTATGCCTGGCAATTGTTTTAAACATTCAATAAACTTAGTAATAGTAATTTTAAATGGCTCACTCAGAAGACCTACCCATTTGTTGTGCCCTGTTTGGGGTCTTCTGCCTCAGCCCCCCAAGTGTCCTGGGGGTAATGGACTAGGCAGGGAAGTGTTTATTTCTAAATGACAATTTAGAAATATTTCTAAATGCCCATTTCTCTGTAGGAGAGAACTAAGGACTTGCTCAACTTTTGCCAGAAAAAGCAATGCAGCTTAACTCGTTTTAGTCTCCGCAGTGCAAGCTGCTTATGGCTGCAGTCCTCTGCACATTACCTTGGGAGTTAGTTTTAACTGGATCAGGCTGCAAAGGCAGCCTATAAAACCAGATTTAATGTACTTTTAGCACTAAGCCTATCCATTGCAGAAATTAGATTTCTATGCTGGGTCGCTGAAGATTTTTTAAAAATGATTTAAACCCAGAACCCACGATACGCCCCCCCCAAAACACACACACACACACACACACACACACACACACACACCAAGAAAGAGGAAGTTAGCTCTGGAACAAGGCGCCTTTCGCGATAAGCTGAGAGGTACACGGCTGAACTAAGGCCTTCGACTGCGCAAAGATTATTCGGAGCGTTTCAAATGGTTCCAGTATGTGCGGTTTAGGGAAGTCTTGGGAGCCCCCACCATCCCGGTTCTTACGTGCACACGATCTTCTTCAATTCCGATGCACCTCGCCAGCGCCACCCTGGTCTCGTATCCGGGGTACTGGTTCTCTGCAAAGGACTTTTTTAGGAGCTCGACGTGAGATGGGCTGAAAACAGTCCTTTTTCGCCTTTCTCCTCCGACTTTGGGGTGGCTTCCTCCTGGGAAAAGACAAAGAGGCAAATCTGAAGGAAGCGCTCGGCTTCAACTGAAGCGACGCTTGCAGATCTTCCTCCCTGAATTGGTTTTGCCTTAAAAATGGACACTAATTTTAAATAAACCTCCGGTTGCTCTGAACAAGGCTTGCATGAAAAACCCCCAAATAATTTAAAGTAAGAAGTTTCCGCTCTAATTTCTATGCCTGCCATCGTTTTCCGCATCCGATCCTAACCACGTTTATTGCGAAATTTAATCCTGTTTATGTGAAAGGGATTTAACATTCAGAAAGTGTGTGTGTAAATGCTTCATGCAGTAAAATGCAGTAAATGCTTCATGCTTATAAGTAAAGATGTGCAAACCAATCTTGCGAACTGTTTCCAACCGAAGACATTTGAGCCCCTGTGTAATCCCTCCCCGGCTACCACAAATGGGTCTTTGAAAGCCTTCCCTACACCCTGACCCAGAAACAAAAACACCCTTCATTTATAAAAACCGTCGTTTATGAAACCCTTAATTTATATCAATCATTTGAGCAATTTTTTAAAGACAAGTGAACTAAAAATCTTCTTAGCAATCCTCTCTTCTTACCTTGGCTGTTGGTAGTTTTCATCTTGCAAAAGCGCTGCCTCGCTCTCTTCCAACAAAGCTGGTTTTCGCTTGCAAAGTGTCCTTGCTCTTCAAGGCGCGCTCCAGGTTTCTGGAGTTCGGCGCCTTTATAGCCCCTCCTGGCTGCCAATTGGCCGGCGCGTTTTCCTTGGAGAGAAGCGCTCCAATGGGGAAGCGGCTTTTGGGGAGGAGCGAGTTTCAAGTTCATTTTTCAAGCGCTGCTTGACCAATCTAGATGGGCTGGAGCGCACCCTTCCCTTAGCATCACCCCTTAGCAAAACTGGAAAATAGCCCCATAGACTGGGAGAATTAGTGCGCACAGTTGAAGAGAAGGGAATTGAGAAGACGGGTTGGGGAGCGAGAGAGCCAGACAGAACTGTGGTTTATTTTTAAAAAATATTATTATGAAGCTGTCATTTTACATACAGAGATGCGCCAAGACTTAGGCATGTTGAAAGGCTTTGCCCAAGAAGCCTAGATGCAGCAAGGACACTCTGAAACCCCCTGCCTTTTGAGATGAAGCAGGCGCCTTCACTGCACCCTTTTCTGCGCCTGCTATAAACTTTGTTTCCTTTACTTTACCTGCAAAAAGTTGCTATGCCTTTTAATCGGTGGTTTTAGCTTGACTGTAATTGCATTTTGCATGTTTTTCACTTTGACTTGTATAGATAATGTTCATGCTTTCGTAAGCGGTGGAACATCTATCAAGAATATAAGGGGGTTCTTATTCGTTCCAGAATATAGAAATGTGTCTCCACTAATTTGCTTCAAAATTCTCTTATTTTGGAAGGGAGATTTAGGATGCTGTGCAAAGTTCTTAACCCGAGGTACTATTTCTGGATTAGCAGAGCCTAGAACCTGAAGTGTCTGTAACCCGAGGTACCACTGTATTTCTAAGCATTCTTTTCAGGGGCTCATAGTATGGCTTCCATATAACATCAAAATCTAGGGATTGCGGCATGTATTAGCTGTGAAGTAGACTTTTGACTCATCAACCTTGGAATCCAAGTATGTCTGTTTATGATGGTATGTGAAGTGGATTCCAAACCATTTATACTTGATAGTAAATATTTCCAGACAATTTGGCCTCGGCTAGGGACATTAATATTCCATTTTTGAGAATCGTACTTCTATCTCACTTGACAGTCCTGTGAGGCTCCCACAATAAATAAATAAAAAGCTCACAATCAAGCTGATTTCCAAGTCACGTCATCC